AGTAAGAAATACATTGTAAATAACTGTGTAGTTACAATAGTAAGAAACATAAAAATTTACTGTAGAAGCTACTATATATATATATATATATATCAGATTTGACTCTGTTTCTTAAAAAGACATGAAAAGTTTAAAAACAAGTTTCACAGACCTCCTATTTTCACTGTCCACTTAGGTTTTTACATGTATACAGCTAAACACGATAGTAGTGTATCTACTTGAGTTTCAGTAAGTCTACATAAACAATATTGTGTATTCCAGATATTTTTGACTCAGCAGATTATAAAATTTTGTGATCACATTCAGTAATGTATAGATACTGAGAAACTAATGTTTTAAAAAGTTGACCTCAGAGACACTTACTTACATCTCTGCTAGTGCTAGTTTATCAGTTGTATCTGCTAATCAGTTAACTGATAGCCTCACTAATCAATTACATTTGATTAACCTGTTAATACAGTGATCCTCAAACAAGTAAAAGAAAAAGCTGTTGGTGGTGGTTACCAACCAGCTACTTGCCTTCCATTTAGGCAGTAGTTCAAGACAAGTTACAGTGGCAGATACCCTTAGTAGTTTTGACATAATGAAGACGGGGCAAGCAAGTTTGGAAGCAATACTTCAATCACTTGGATAGTTAGAATAATCATAATCCCTAGTTTGATTTAATCATAATTTTGATTAATCAGTTGTTGGGTTGTATGAAAACAGTAACATAAGGAAACACTGATTTTTATTAGTTGCTTATTTTTGTGACAGTTGATATAATCAAAAACAGTAATAATCTGAAACACTAATATTGACTAGTCTGTTTAACCATAATTTCAAATAAATGTAATTGCTGCTTGATTATATTAATTAATCATTTAAATCATCCAGCTCTATTCTGCACAGCAAAGAGTTGTCACCTCTCAGCAGTGTCATGTGTGGGCTGTAATCATCGTTAGACTACAGACTTTCACCAGTAGGAGGTCAACACATTCTTCATGAGCAGTAAACCTCATGAGCACTAGCAGATTTTCTTTCTTTGGATTCAATATTCTGAATTATGGGATTTTTGCATTCCAGTTGTTACTTTAGGTTAAATCTTATTGTTTAACTTATTTTATACTTGAGCAATTTCACTTTAAGCTTCATTCAAGTATAACACAAACACACACACACACACACACAAAGGTTTTGTTAGATCATTTCAAAAATTAATTACCACACTGACTTTTCTGAACCCTTACAAGGTCTTGACATTCCACAACAGAAGTCATCTTCTACTTTTTCAGTGGAAACTGGAGGCACTCTGACAGTTAGTGATATTACTACCATTGTGAACCAGGTTGTTAGTTCTGTTCTCCCTTCTTCATCCTTTATTTACAATTCTCGACCTTCTGCTTCTGTTGTCTCAGCTGAGCCTGCCCTGTTTTTTGACAGTTTTGACTAGTTGTTCCCACTACCGGGTTTGCTTCTCGTTTTTCTCTTCCTGAGGGGAACCTCATCTTTATCCATTGCTACTTAGTTATGTGACATTCTCTTACTTTCTCCAGTTTTATTTGCTGAATCTTGAGCTGCCTTGCTTCATGGCCCTCCTTCTTCTGACACTTTTTTTTTCATCCCTCCTAGATATTTGTATTCATGCCAATATTTTTTGTTTCAACTTTTCACTGACTCCAAGTTGCCCAACCTCAAAAAGCTTATTCCATGGTGAATGGTCAAGATTCTTCTATTTTCTTTCAACTTCAGTCCCTTGTGTCTCTTCCTCCAGCTTGATGTTCTACCCCTTCTCCTACTTATCTTCTTTTGTCACTTTCTCAGCCCCTTTGCTGTCTATCTACACTTTATCTTCTTTTGGAGGCTCTGCATCAATACCTTGGTAGCTTCATTGGGGACAGTTGCATCTACCTATTCACTACCTTGGCTTTGATCTCTTCTTCTGAAACATTCTAGTTAACTTGGTTTTTTTGTTTCTGGAATTTGCTTGGTAAGGATGGCTTACTTCTTTGTGTTCACCTCCTTCAGTCTTATCTCAATGACCTTCATTTGGCACCCTTCCATTGAGAGGAAGCCTTTGAGGGGATTCCTTAAACCATGGAATCTCAAGCTGAGACTTTTCATCAGCAATCATCCATGCTTACTTTGATTTTCTGAATTTCCCAGTCCATGGGATTTTAACAGTTCTGGGCCCTTCCCTTTGGGTTATTGATGAGCTTCATACATTTCAGTTGAATTCTTCAAGCATTCATACAGAGAAAGCATCCATTTTCACCACTGTATGAACAATTGGCTCCTTCTTGCACCATTCCAGTGCTTCTGACCCCATGTAGTATCTGATTTACTGAAGAGTCTTTTTCAACTTGTTTGCATGGTTAGCTTATCCGTATCCTTTATGTCTTTGAGACAGACATGGAGCTTCTGATTACCAAAGCTCTTATGTCTTCTTCTCTTCTTGCATGAGAGGTTCTGTCTCTTTTGGGGACTTTGACTTTATTTGAATCCCTTGTTCCTCTCAGTCCCATATGCATCCTGTAGTGGATTCTAGAAGATGCATAGTGTCTCATCAATTGACAGCAAAAGGCCTGAGCCCAGATATAAGTACTAAATTTTTTATGTTTTTTTTTGCAGTTTTTTGTTTATTATCTTAACAATAACTAAAATATAAAAATTAGAAACTTATTAGATAAGAAAACTTTAAAAAAAGAAACTAAATTTCACATGATACATGATATCCTAGTACTTGCACATCACGTGGTGTAATTGTAATTCATTCATTTGTCTACACAAAGTTGTCCCACTGTGATAAATGGTTTAAGCATTATCTAAGTACAGCTTTAAATCAGTAAAACTAAATAAAACCAGATTTGACAATGTTATTAGCTTAGACTTTAAGAATAAACAAGTGTAATTGTCTGTTTTAGTATGCAATCAATCTAGAAAGAAAGGAAAGGTAATTTTGATTTATTTTCATATTTCTGAACTTTAAATTTTATCCTAATTTGCTAACTTTGCTACAGTTAGGGTTGAGAAAATAACAGGTAAAATATAAAGGTTTACTAAAAATATTTATATCCTTTTAGGATGTCATATGAAATATGAAAGGAAGCATTTTTTTCATAGCATGAAAATCATCTTGCACTCAGACTGCAGTATATACTTCATAAGTTCACAGAAAATTTGTTATTAAAAATTAATTTTTGTGTACAGCATATTTGTAATGATTACTAAAGCTTGCCAAATTTCGTGAAGATGTAATTAGTACATTCAGAGATATATTTCATGGTTACAAGGTTTGTCAAAATGACCATACACACACACACACAGATATATATATAGTTAATCAGCATAAGTTGTGTATTCTATTTCAAACTTTTAGGTTTAGAAGAAGAGTTTCTTGGCCCTACCCCTCAATCTCCACAGAAATTGGAATCTGAACCTGAACATCAACCCCATCTGCTGGAGAAATTACTCTCCAGTGTAAAACCTACTACAACAACTGTCTTCCCCTCCAAGCAAGCAACCCGTCCTCCTGGGTTAAGTTCAGAGGCCAAGAAAGTTCTAGATAAACTACCAGATCTTTCTTTCATGCAGGCCAAGGTCCTAATGTTTCCTGTCCGCAGCTCCTCTGTTTTGTGAAAAGTGGCTAAAACTTTCTTTTATCCTGGTAAATATAAAGTTAAAATGATAAAATTGCAGATCAAATCCTTGATGTTTCTTCCTTAGACAAAGTCAGAAGCTTTCACTGATAGCTCTTTATAGTTAAAAAGTGTGCTTTTCACAGAGCTTTTATTGTTCAAAAGTTCTCTGTATTGTTTATTTATAAACATTCTAACAGTTTCAGTGATGTTTAAATACTGGATGATTTTTTCATATCATTGAAAAACAAAATGTGTGTGACAGTGCAAAATACATTATTTTGCTTAAGTTGTTGATTATTTTAATAGATTAGAGGGAGAATATTATGTAATGTAAATACTGAAAATCAACTTTTCTTTAATGTGGATAAAGAGTAAGCTTTTTTTTGTGAATTACTGCTTTGTACAGAAGGTTAAAAATCTAACATGTTTCCTCTGAATGAAATTCTTCTGTTTCTATTCATGCTTTACAAACATAATATATAAATCATAATTTAGCAAATGCCCCTTGTGTCATTTTTGCATAGCTTTTGTTTTCTTTTGTGTATGATTGGTTTATCCTGTTTGTTCAGAAACTAGATTAGTTGAAGAGGATACATAAACACCAAAAAAGTTTATTTCTTATGATTATCGTACTAGTTTTGATTGTAACTGGACAAATTAGTTGTGAATTTTAATGCTGACAGCAACAAGGTTGGTAAAGAACAAGGCATGCTTTTCATGTATCTAATAAAAAATATGCTTAAGTTATTAAAACCTATGTATAATACAGTTCTTACTTTCATGTCGATATTGGCAGTGGACTAGTCATGTTTGTACTTAAATAAACCCGATTAAGGATGAGCTGTTACTGTATGATTCAAAAGTAGTCTCTCTTTTTTTTTATCCCCTACTTGTGGGATATATAAAAAAATTGATTGAAGGACATGTAATTCTAAGACATTTATACTTCCTGTACCTCTGCAAAGCTCAAGAAAGCAAAAATGTGTAATACTACATATTATTTTTGTGTTTTAATCAACTGAGCTAATTAAGCAAGAAGATCAACATCCTAGTTTGTATTTTTTATAAAACACTAACAAAGACAGGTGTTTTCAATAGACTGAACAGTTTTTTTTGTTTTAATGAAAGTGGAACTTGTTTATAGTAATATTTTTTTTAAATGTTCATTTTTGTTACAAGTTACTGTTAAACAATTCAAATATTGAAATGTCAGCTGTTTTGGTTAATCATACTTATATATAATATTTGGTTTATCATACTAGTTAATTAACCTTGCGTTTGTAGAATTATATACAGACTTCTCTATGTTTAAGTACTTTTCTTTTAGTTGCAAGCTTTTGGCCCTCCTACTTGAGCCTTCATCAGGCAACAACGTACTTAACAATAAAAATTATTTTATCTGTGGATCACCACTTTAAAATAGGTATCTAGGCGACAGTCATAACAGTAACTAACATCTGGTATTAAAGTTATTAACCATATAGAAATTATAATGAATATATGAGATAAATCAATTACTTCAATATAATAAACATAAGGAAAATACAATTATAGGTATTATACTGAAACATAAATATTGTTCATACTTCAAGTAATAAATTTTAGAAATATATGTTAATTTTACATAAGGAAAAGACAATTATAGATATTATATAGAAAAATAAAATGTTCATACTGCAAATAATACATTGTAGAATTAAAGGTTTAATTTTACATTGAAACTACAACAAATAACGCTTTGTCTTTGATAAGTGGTGTCCATGCAGTATTTAGTAGTTGTTTTGATTAATGTGCACTGCTGGTTCACTGTCTTGTGCTTGAATGGTAGTAGCTTCTTTGATTTTCTCCGTTTCGTGTTTTCTTCTTTGTTTATTTATTTTTCACTTTTTTAATTGTTTTCTTGAATATGAAAAGCTGTAGCTGATATGTTTATAGTATAGTTCTTAATATCTCTCTGAACCTTATGTGTAATGGGCATTGTATTTCCTCAGTGTACTGTTTACCACGTACTTTGTGAGAGGACTGGGAACTAGGGATCTTACCTTTGTAAGGCTGTCACACTGTGTAGAAGGACTTATGAAAATTATGGTGATGTTAAGTTTATCCATTATCCTATAAAGTTTTTCTTCTAGGCCTGGTATATCAGGAATAAATGCTTTTTTCTTTTTGTTGTGATTGTCAGGTTATGGTTCATTAGTAGTAGAGACAGGTGCACCATATAACGTGATGAATTGTTTTCTTTGGATACTTGTTATCTCAAGATGTTTAAGTTCTTCATCTAGGTAAAACAAGTATCATATACATGTAGCTGTAGATTTTAATGTTTCAGTAATACCAATTTTGACAGTTTTGTATGACATGAACTAAAATGTAGATATATAAATAATCGTTTGAGTCTACTTCCGATAGACAGTATTGGTCAACTTTTCTAAACTCGTGCCATTGTGAACCTGAACATAAAGGAATGGAAAATTTCATGTTGTCAAATTGGCTCTTCAGATGAGCATGAAAGATTTTGAATTTTTCCTTAAGTCCTCCTACACTATGCGACAGTCTTACAAATGTAAAATCCCTTGTTCCTAGTACTCTCACAAAGAATATGTTTTATAGCACTAGGTGCGAGTGTAATAAACAATACATTGAGGAAACACAATGCCTGTTACAGATAAGGTTCAAAGAGATATTAAAAACTGTGCTACAGCTTTTCACACTCAGGTAAATAACCATATAATAGACAGGGTAGAAAACACCAAACGAAGAAAAATCAAAGAAGCTATTGCCATCAAACCACAAGACAGATAATACTTATAATTGTATTTTCCATATGTTTATTATATTGAAGTAATCAATCTATCTTCTATATTCATCATAATTTCTATATGGTTGATAACTTTAATAGCAGGTGTCAGTTATTGTTACAATTTTTGCCTAGATATCTTTTTTAAAGCAGTGTTCCACAGATAAACGAACTTGTTTTGCTCAGCACATTGTTGTCTGATAAAGGCTCTGGTAAGAGGGCTGAAAGCTTGCAAGTAAAAAAAAAAAAGTATTTTAACGTAGAAAAAATTCTATATATTAATTTACCTATATTATGAGTTTTAAAAAAACAATTAACATTGTACTTGTTATGGTCAAAAAGTGAAAGTTGCTTATCAGATTGTTGTAAATATATTAAATTTGTTATACAATTTTGCAAATTTAATTACTCTACTGCTAAATAAAGTACAAAGGTTCATACTTGTAGTTACATTCAATAGTGTTTTAGCAAGTTTCAGCTATTATTTTTATTTTCCCAATCTAAAGTTTAATTTTTATAATTTGTTTAAAATTCTATGTTATTAGTTTTCAAAAGTAAAAAAAAAAATTGCATTCATAAAGGTGTAACGTACAAGCTGTTTTTGAGAAAGATATATAACAATTACTTGAGCATTTAACAGTAATATCACCATCTAACCAAGGTACATACTAACCTCTGAGTATTTGAAATGTAGCTGGAACACAGGTATTAATACATTCCATGATTACTACAACATTCCATTGTGAATGCCTAGATTAATAAATAGACATTCAGTGATATGAGTATTATATGTGTCATCATTTACAGCTTTACATGTAGCTAAGGAGTTTATTTATTACTTCACCTTAGAGATTTAGATAATTGCCTTTACTGGTGGAAGTTTTGCTTGTTTTTGTATTAACTGATGACTAGAAAGAATTTAATCATTTAAAATATTTTCTTGTTTTAAGGTAACTTGTTTAAAAAAATGTTAAACAGTTTCTTACATACTGTTAATGCCCTTAATCGGAGTTATTGATAAGGTACTTAGTATGCCGATTAGGATACACTTCAACTCCTGGGCATTGGTGTAATATAATATTCTCAATATAGTGGATTTAATAAAGTTGGATCTGAATCTTTATTTTTGTGTCATTCATTATTATTTATTGAAAAAAACTAATTTCCTTTTATCATATGTTTGAAATACTGCATAAACACCACAATAACTTCTACTGAATAAAATTATAGAACCCCACTTGGCAAAATTACAGCTCAGCTGAACTTGCAGTATTTCTACAGTACAAAAGTAAACAATGACAAGTTGTAAACCACAGAATCCAGATTTCTGAACTGATTGGCTTGTAATCCTATGTTAAGTGTATATTTTCATTTGATTGTTTTACTTGAATATACCACACATAAACCTGAAAAAAGATGTATTCTATAGTAGTTATGGAATGGTGAAATTCATTGCTATTAAACTTGGTACAATTCCAGTGTGATGTGTTTATTATTCTATACTAGTTATGGAATGGTGAAATTCATTGCTATTAAACTTGGTACAATTCCAGTGTGATGTGTTTATTATTCTATACTAGTTATGGAATGGTGAAATTCATTGCTATTATGCTCGGTACAATTCCAGTGTGGCGTGTTTATTATTCTCTTACAAGAATACCACAAAATATATAACTTAGCATGTGGGATGAACAGTGAAACAAGGAGCTTGAAAGAGAAAAAATTATCTTTAGGATAAGAACAAAAGGTAAACTGTCAAGAAAAATGTGCACAAGAGTCAATGGGTTCTAAACTGAATGTCAATAAACTTAAAGTTTTATTAATCCCATATCTTGTTTTTAACATATGATACTGTAAACAAATAATATTCTTCAAATAATCGTTACGTAACCTCACATCAATTGAGGTGGCCATCAGATTCTTTAAGAACTCCACATATCTAACCTCAAACACTTAACTGTTTTGATTACTTTAAATACACAGCATTGCCTTTGTGCATTCAAATATAACAACAAAATTTTTCCTATGCAAAACACTAATTTTCATTCTAGTTGTAAATTTAAAATATGTCCAGGAACAGCATCAGCCTCTTTCTGGTGAAAAGACTGAGGTGAGCTAGACAAACAATTGAGAGGGCTGCACTCTACATCTTGTGAGCACAAATACTATATGTGGTATTTAGGAGGAGATAAGCCAGTTTTAACAATGTGCACTTAATGTGTGTCCAACATCTTCCAGATAAAGAAAAAAATATAAAAATTGTTTCGAACTTTTTCATTGAGTCCAGGCAAGCTAAGAAACATTTTTGTTTAGCTTCCCATGTTTGTCTGGAACAGTTTCTACATCATGAAGGTTTTCCTTTTCCAAGCTCACATTATAGGTTATGTTGATGGAATAAATTTCTTTGGACATGTGCTTTATTCATAAACTTTCTGTAATTTCACCATACTGGAAAAGTGTATCGGGGAAAAGATAAAAAAGAAAAGTATGAAAATTACGCAAACTTATAATAAGTCTTTATATAAACATTGAAAATATTGGTAAAATATTCGTTTCAAGAGTATCTCAGAATGATTAAGACACATTAGATTTTGACTGAATAAGTGAAAATTGAGAATGAGTTTCAAACCCAGAGATAACTGGTTTAACAGTTTAAGCTATCATGTCTCAAATACCATAAAGCTTTGATTTCAATTCACTGTTTTTACCAGGGAGGGAAGTAAAGCTTTAAATCAGTTCATTGCTCTTAATTTTTAACCCTCCAGTTTTCCAACATGACACAAAGAAACTATAGAAGAAATACTACTATTGCAATAGTAGCCATTTCACTCATCAGTAGAACATTGATCGAAGTGTTATTGAAAAGTATCTCATTTGGAGGTCATCCATTTAACCACAGCTTAATAAAATTAAATTTGTCATCAAACTTTTACACATAAGCATAAGAAAATCATTAAATACTCGTATCATAATACAAACATTCACTGTATAATGAAATAGTTTGACAAATAAATAATACTCTAAAACGTGTTCAAACCAAGGTTGTAATATTACAAAAAAGCTGAAAGGGAATTATGTCACTTACAGAAGCAATAACGTGATTTAGATTACTCAAAAGATTGAAAAGACATACTTATACGACCAAAGAAAAACAGAAAGATAGTGGAAGTGTAACAATGTTTATTAATCTCTCTTTTTTTTTCATACATATTAGTAATATTTTATCATAAGCCTCTGAAACCAATATTAGAAGGCCCAAATATTCCACACTGCTAGAAAGCACCAAACCATTAACAGTAATTTTCAAGTCTGTAATGTTACTCATAAAACTGATAAGGGATTTATGTAACTAACACAAGTAACAGCACGTGACTTAGATTGTCTGTAAATACGTACGGGTCCTAATTTTGCCATCTATACATAAATACTAGCTTAATAAGTACTACAGCAATATTTAAAATACTTCTAATTTGTTTAGCTACAACAATCTCGGGTTTTCTTAAACCTGAAAACTATTCATACATGATAGAGCAAAACCATATTAAACAGAAAACATGCATTGTTGATTCCATAATACCTCTAATCTCCACTGGGTTAAAGGCTATTGTTTTCATGGTGATAAATCTTAATAAAAAATATACATTGCAACCTTAAGAACTCGTCACTTCCTTGTCATTTTTCATTAACTAATAATTCCTTACAAACTTTCTAATTAATTATCTCTAACAGTATAATCATCATGATATCTGTTCGCTCTAATATTAAATAAACTGAAAAAGTTGTGCTTTAGCTATATGTGAAACAAACATTGTACAAATAATAATAAAAAAATTCTAAAACACCAAAGATTTTGAAGAACAAAACCTGTTATAGTTCGTAACAACTAATCTACGTATATACTTACGACTTACTCCAAACCTCGTGTACAATTTCTCCTGTCTCTGGATGTTTTCCTATTTAAGAACTTCCTTAATAACATTAATTTCATTAAAACATAGACAATAAATATTACAAGTCTTACTGCTCTATCTTTGTACTAGTAGCAACAAAACAGAAATATTTTTTATATATGCTCAGACACTAATAGTTTTCAATATTTTACAATTGAAATTTATGAAATTTGCAAATACAAAACAAACAAAGTTATAGTTAAATATAAATACAAAACAGTCCAAAATAATGAAGACAAGGCAATACAGTTAATCATGGTCATTTTAGTTGGCCACAGAAAACTTCCACTCATTTAAAAAATGTATTACTTACATATTCTTTGGAAATTTTTTAATAAATTTTTTCATATTACATGTATGATGAAATTAAAGTACTCTCTTAAACATTAGTTATTAAAAATACAAACAAACTGATAACCACATAATAATAACACCACTGTTTAACAACAATACTATCTTAAATGCACCATTTCAGCTAGACTTGGATACATCACAATGTATAATAGTTTTGAGTTGTGTTCTCATTAAATTTTGGTGAAAGAAAAATATTAAATGCATTTATTTCTTTACGGAAATGGCACTACACCAGTTTGAGAGAATAGCACACTTTATATATTACTTTGGGCTAAGCTTAAACTCAAACACCATAAATGCCCTGTAAATTTTGGTCAAATTATACTGAATAAAAACATTTTTTGTAGAGCATGCCCCAAGACCCACCAAAAAAAAGGGCACTGTAAAAATTTTACTTTTCAAAAGTCCCACTCAAACGGTTTCCTAAAAAGTTGGTAGTCCTGGTATATATATATCAATAAAAGATAAAAACATAATTCAAAATCACTAGTTTTGCTTTTATGAAAGATTTTTTATTTTTTTAAATTTCTGAAATAAAATTAACTGTTTCTACACTTAATTTTCTGCTTCTTAGAAAACATACTCTCTTGGAAACCAAGTTTTCAGGAATAAATGAGAAATTCTGCCAGTTTAATATTCCTCAACTTTTCAACATGAGAGACCAAATTTTGTTAAAAATATAACAATAGTAAATACTGACATTAAAATAACTCATTTTTTACAATTATTTGTAAAATTTCAGAAGTTTAAAATGACTGTACATGAATAAAGAACCACAAAAATCAGAAATATTTACCAATATTGAAATAAAAAGTCATTCATTATCAGACAGCTATGTGTTGGAGAGTAGACACAAGAGCCTCTTTTTTTGTGGTTAGATAAGAGCTGAAACCTAATTATTAGGTTTTTTTTTCTGCTGTTCTTTTTTATGACCTCATATATTCAGTCTAAGATTATTCAAGTCAGATTAATGTAATTAATTATTAACCAAATTCTTGTTTAAAATGTTTTTTATATCTTACATAAATGTAAGAGTAGTTATTTTTATCTTCTAATTTTTAAATAAATTTGGATGAATATTTTGAATCAAATTAATGTATACTAAAACTGAATTTTGCCAGTGACTTTTCCATTTTGTTAACTTAAGATACTCTTATAACCACATTATAGTCAACAATAAGGCTATACTTTAATCAAGTATGTATGAACTTTATAGATACTCCAAAATGGCTCAGCTTAAACTATGTTTTTCAATACTCTTATTTTGTAGAAAAAACATTGAATCATTGAAAGAAAAACAGTTCTTTAAACATTTCAACAACTGCTTTTTAAGGACAGTTGTCGAAAATAAATTAAAACTTAAAAGTTTCTGGCACATAAATAATTAATCATATTTCAGTTTAAGTTTTTATATTGTTTTAATATGTTGGGTTTAAACTGAGGATTGTAATAAACAAAAATTAAAGAAAAAGTTCCTTTAAATATAACTGCAAGTTTCAGTATCATGTAATATATTTCTGGTTTAAAGCTTTATTCATGCTATTTAGTAATTAATATACAATTAAATCTATGATGTAAAATAATAAATTTCTGATTAGTTGTTGATGATTTTCCCATTTTATTGGCTACATAACATTTCTTCATTATCAAAATTAATAATTTTTTCACTTTTTTTGGTCAGTGTTCTTATATCACAATGAATAAACTTTTGAAAGAAAAACTGAAAAAAAGCATTAAATAACAATATGAATAACAAATGTAAATGTCCATTGTTGAATGTTTAATGCTTTTCAAAATCAGAACTTCTTGAGCGAAGTGATAAATCTACAAGTGATTAATTTATGCTTTCAAGATCAATTTGGCACACACATAAATATTAATTTGAAATTTTGCTAACTAGAAGACATTATTAGAAACAACTGATAATTCATAATAGCTACTGGTGTGTAAAGGAAGCTCAAAATTATTGATAATCCTTGTATTTAACTCAACAAATATCTAACTTACACAAAAAACAACAACATTTAGCATGAAATTTAACATACATTTGAAAAGGTTTTAACTCAATGTATTTTGCAATTTCATCCTAATTACTTTTTTATAGGATTTATTCAAATCTTTCAACTGAGTCTTATTTTTCAAAATATGTTGGAATTAATTTCATCAGTTTAATTTTTATAAATAAAACAATAAAAAAATATGTAAAAGTATCTGATAGACTGCTTCTCAACTGTTTTGGTGTAGTTTGATTAACAAATTGGAGTTTCAAATACTGGTATTTCTACTCATCATCACTGACATGCGAAAAATTCACCTAATAAATGTAGTCTTAACTGCCTTATTTTGTCTCATCGTATGATCTCTGCTTTTGCATGGAATTAAACAAATCCCTGTACTAGGAAACCTGTAACAGAAATTGTAGTCTTCATGTATAATTTTGCAATAATCAATTTTACATTAGCACTATTATTAGCCAAGATGACAGTCACGAAGAGTGTTAGAAAAAATAAACAATTACAAAAAACTAAGTGGTTATTACATTTAATCACAAAAAAATGCCTTACAATAATTACCCAAGATTCTTAATAGTGGAGAGTGGTAAATCAATCTTCCTTTGTTGCTATTAGTTACAGATGCCACATTACTTGTAGTTACTACACATTTATGTGGATTATCTTACTTCAATTACAAGTTTCTTCAAACATGCAATAGAACTAACTTGAACTCAAAAAATAAAAATATTTTTCTAGATTTTGTTTGATAAAGTTGTTCTTTTTCAATTTTATGTTTGTATATGCAAGCATGCAAACATTACTGCTAGTATGCTGTTTGGCAAGTAGGAAAAGTCAACATCTGAAATATTAAACAAGCATAACAAAATCACATCTAGAATGGTTCCTGTATATTTTAACTATTGCAGTCCTCTACTCACTTTAACAGCTTTGACTTAAATTTAAAATATTGAATTTCTTATTAACACACACATATATATATATGTATAACATGTCCTAAGATATAGACTGATGGTTTACTGGGCAATAAAAAAATGTACACGTTTTCTCTGGAGTAAGAAAAGATATTTTTGATTTATATACAATATGAACCCCCAATGCCAGTTGGCATCGTATTTTACAGAAAAGTCTAATATTCATATGTTACCTCATTTGTTTTATTTTACTATGTAAGTAGGAACCTTATATAAGCAACTTGTTTTTAACGAGAAAACTACTTTATGAAAAATGTATATATACATATACTTAGAGAAATAGAATGACAAGCAGGTTGATTCCAAAAGCTTCAAATCTACAAAACAATTTACACATTTTCATCTACTATAAGAATTCTAATAATAAAAATTTCATATTATATATCATGAACTTATAAATTGAGGGTAAGTGAAAATATAATTAATTTTGAAACAAATTACGGTTTTCACATGATCTTACATAGAACTACAAACTTTATATTTTGCACACATACATGTATAGGTAAGAAATAAACACATACTCAATGAAACCCTGAACAAAATCAGAATCTGTTAAATTCCTTTTACATAGATTTTGAAATGTTTATATTCTAATTTTTTAGCAATCTTTGTCAACTAAAAAATAAAAAAGGTTTTAAAATTC